ACGCGAATACAGCAACCTAGCCAGGCTAAAGGAAGATTTATCACTTAGAACCAAGACGATTACGAAGGCATCGATATTATTTAATCTCCCAAAGTCAGGTTATTTGAGGTGATATTGTAATAATTACAAAGCGCCCTGGAGATGAGATGTTGTTAGAATAAACTAGCACATTGTCTTGTGAGAACGACTCGGATACACGCATAGTACAACATCATATAACTATGTAGAGTCATACATCAAAATAACGTCATATTTAGTACAAGATTTCAATTTCTTTGTTAAGAACAAAATTTCTGTAATATCGTGACTGGGATATTGTAGTACAATGGCCCTGATCAATTTCTTATCATCCCGATCATCATTCAAACTATTTTCATCATGATTATTATATAACGATACCATGCAATCATAAACGTCTATATGACTAAACTTAATCATTTATATTTTGAGAGACATATTTTGGCGGAAAACAGTAATTGGCAGTTAACAGTAAATTCTTTCAGACATATTACACTACTTAAATGAAGAAGTTAGAAGTTATCATAGAAAATCACCCTATTGCGACTGATCGTGGTCAGAGTGTGTATAAGGTATAGTACCAGCTAAAGGGAAACTCAATATCAACGCCAAAGTTTGCCTTTAAATAATCCAAACTTAACACAGTTATTATTAACATACACGATGGACAGGAGTATTATTGTTTTTGACCATATATATATACCCAAATTATCACATGTCAAAGATCCAAGATCATGTTGAGAAATTCGAAATATCTAATACTGGCATGGTTTTTAAGAGCTCTCAGTCATTTTAAAACTGTCCGGATAGGGTATTGAGATGGAATTTAAAGTGTCGTTATATTACTATTAGATGCAGGCAGGTTCATGAGTATAATAGTTGGTAATGATAAACTTTTTTTCTAGAGTTATGGCCCTTGACCTTAGATTTTAATTGGCAGATTCAGGTCAATGGATTATTTTTCCATAGTCATGTCTCCATGAAACTGTTATAAAGATGGTGGCCATCTTCAGTGTCTCCAAAATCAACAAGGAGACATGAACTACTCACAACTCCCGTTTCTGAACATTACAATTGCGAAAGAACGGCTAGAGATGTATTGTTTACAGTCTGACAATTGAACTAATGATGATGTTACTCCATGACATACGGTTTTCTGGTAGGAATTAACTAGAAGATAAAGTAAAAAATTCTGCAGGTAAATGAAAATCGCATTGACTTTAAGTTGCAAGTTCAAATGAGTCATGCATTTTTGGTTTAGGGCAAGGGTATTTGAAGTGTTTTGATATTAGATTTCCAATTCAAATCGTCATAAGGCAGTGTTTTCACATAGTATTGTTTTCGAATCAATGCAAGCTTATTCTTGAGTATTTATTGATTAATTAATTAGTTTCAAATAAGTTTGAACTCTCCGTGTCAATTTGCATGAAATATATAAATATAAGATGTATTAAAGTGGTAATATCAAAACTTGATATATATGGCAAACACTAGTCATATACAAAATCTTACCAAACAAGTTGGTCAACGTTAAAATGCAAGTAAGGCATTATAAGTGTACATCATTCGAAACTTTGACCTTCATGTTAACCTAATTGTATGTCCTTTGCACAACCATCTGATGTTGGTGGTGGTAGACACTGCCAATGGACTTGTATTTCTGTCATGTCTACTTTTTATTCGAATAGTAGTACGGCTAAGTGTATACAAATGAAGCTGATGTTCTTTCAAAATCGTCCGATGTTTAAAATGAGCACCTTTCTGTTTAGGGAAGCATCAACAAGGTCATATGAGGACCAGAATTTAGAGGAGCATCGTATCAAGGTCATATAAGACGAGAATTGAGGGAGGTATCGACAGCTAGGTCATATGAAGACCAGAATGTAAGGCAGCATCGGCAGTTAGGTTAAATAATGAGCATTTAGAGAAGCATCAACACCTAGGTCATATGAGAACGAGAATTTAGGGAAGCATCAACAGCTAGGTCATATGAAGACCAGAATGTATGGCAGCATCGACAGTTAGGTTATATAATGACGAGCATTTAGGGGAGCATCAACATTTAGATCATATGAGAGCGAGAAATTAGAGAAGCATCTGCAGCAAGGTCATACTTGGACGAGAATTAAGGGAAGGATCTACAGCCAATGACTATGTAGATTGTAATGTTACGTTAATATAAGGCATTTCCTACACTACAGTAGCCTAACGATCACGATGTGCCGGAGTAGGTACAATCCTTATTCAGTGGCGATTTGACTGTTTTGTATAGGTATTTAAGTTCAAATTCTAAATTATTTCTATTATTCTTCATAAAAAAGAGAACAAAACACTAAATTTGCAACAAAATTTATATTTACCATCCTCCGCAGGCAGTAACCGGAAATGCGTCTGATGTCAATACATTTTGTAACGAAGCATGGTAATGTATATCCGGCTTCATATAAATTAAGTATTTATGTATGTATGAATGAATTAATGAATGAATGAATACGTATGACGAAAAAAATAGACGAATGAATGAAATACATGAGAAAGGCAATAGTACTGATGATAGTATCACGACACAGTACATGTACACTATCTAAAATGATAGAGTATCATCAATCAAACATTTGAACATGAGTTTCAAAACTTCTAAATACCATACAGAATTCTGCTTTAGAAGTTTAAATAGTATTGTGAACATCCAGATTCGACTTGGAACATGGTTGTTAGTAGGGCGGCTCTCGCTACTCCCTATCCACGCCGAGTCTGTATTTCAAAATATAGTCTTATATCTTTTCCAATGCTTTGTGTACGTGTACAATTTGTATATGTGCGGTGAGTGAGAGCCCTCTTGCATGAGGACATATATTGTATACATGCGTGCTTTTATTGACATCTAATAAATTTGTTATATTTTTTTTAATGTCCTTTGTAAATGATTCTACTTAAATTAACAGTGCATCAAGCTGCTAGTCGTTTGCTGTTTAACTCCGAAACTGAAATAATTCGTTTTGTAAACGAGTCGCAATTCTGTTGATTTTTTTTTCAGCCTTATTATCGTTTACTTACGTATCTATAGAATTTACGTCAGGGTTATTTCGAAAATTAGCGATGGCGATGTTTTCCCCATATAAATATACGAGACAAAAACATGGTGTTAGAGGAATTAAAACAAAAACCATCGATCACAATATTACAATGATTTATACTCCTGTTAATATTACTGAGAAAGTGGACATTATTACCATATTACCAAAGTCAATATCAAAATATTATGACCATGCACGGTCATAAATACATTATTACGACAATGTGATATTATATACATCCCTAATTGTACTTGTATTTAGGTATTCGACAGAAACCTTTGATCCTGTTTATGTCAGTAGTTGTTTTAATAACTATTTTATAATCTATTATCATTAACCGTGTGTAATTAATATATGTCTATATATCAAAGAAAAAAACAGTTGCTAGTTAAAGATTTTGATTTAGTGTCATATATACAATATGTACGCATACAGAAGTGGGCGTGCTTGATTAAGCGAGGTGTTTTAGACATTTCATACATACCAGGTTTCGCTTAAAGTTGTGTTTCATGTTTAAAAAATCTAGAACAATTTCACATTCTAGTGATATTGATTATATAGATAAGAACACATGTGATACGTACACGTGATACGCTGTAGTCCTTATACAACTATTGGCACGATCATTTCTATGTAACTAAGTACTACACGTGTACTTATCTTTATGTTTGATATATCTAGAACAAAATTATTACACCTTGATTTGATTTTATTCAAAACAATTAACAGTTTTCTTATATTATTCATACAGGGAACATATTTTACCAATAGAAGCCAATTTACGTGCAATACTTTCAGCAATATATGCTATTCAAATAACATCTTATATATTTAAACCTCATTAATGTAGCAATAATCACTACCATATGGTGGAAACATTGTAACACTATATACTTCAGATGCAATTTATGCTAGCTATAAATATCATTCTACGCTCTCTGAATGCAGCACTGTTATGACTGCTAAAAAAGATCAGACCAATGTTATACTACGTTTAACTTAAGTATTGTTAGCTTAATTTTATCAGCTATCAACACATGTCCGAACACATGACGATCCACAAGCACAAGCTTATTTAATGTCTCATCATGTGGACAACCATGCAATGTCACGTGTCGATACATATATTAGGAGCTTAGTTAGCTTCCTTTCATTGTCATGAACAAATGAAAAAATATCAATGAAATATAAATTGATTTCTTTATAAACATGTTATCAATGCGCTGTTCTTCAATTAATAATTTGTAAATGCAATTTCCGTATAATTGTCATATAGACTACCTATCTTATTCAATGTGTACAATATTAAGCCTACCAGTGTTTCAAAACCATGACGAAACACGTTTCGTAACTTGATTAACCAAAAGTTATTTAAGACCAAGAAATCGTCTCTTACAGCATTGGCAATTCCAGACCACTACTGCGTTATAGTCAACTAAAGGTAAGAATACTGTAAGAATAGGAATATTATCCTAATCTGCTGTAATGCAGCGATAATTAATACGATCTTAATTATTTTTTCACACATATGCACCACAGTTACAATCTATTGAAAATTCTGAAAAAAAAATATACATTCTCTTATCGAAACTAAGTTCTAATCTTGCCTCTTTATTTACTTATTTTCTGTTGTTTACCTTGTCCTCTTATAAAAACTTAACAATACTTACTTGGATGGACTAATATCAGCAAGACGGGAGTCGTCGATAAAAAAAAGTTGACGCTAAACGTCCAAAACGCCTGATCTCATTAGCATTGCTTTTTGAAGAGTCTTCGTGTAAAGCATATTTTGTTGATTTATTTCATGGTCTCATTGAATTGGAATTGAAATTAAGAATTTGTTGACATGTCGGTATTTTCTGTGTTGTTTCTGAAGCATTTAAATTTGTGTTACTTTTCAGCATGATGAAGACCATGTTATTTTCCTTTTTGGTGACCCTTGTGGTGGGTACTGACGCTGCTGGGTTATTAGATTTCTTTTTCGGGGGGACTCCAACTGACGCTCCTGGATTACTTGATATGACAAATCAGCACTGGTTCTGTCACAACCTTGATTGTCCCGCCTACGAAACAATGTTAACAACACCGGTAAGTTGTTATAATTCCATAAACCATGTATGCGATAATATACTTCAGATAATATCATCCTCTCCTCACGTTAACTTACTCATCAATATCGTACATTTTAACAGACCAGTCACATTATTTAATCAGTTAAGTGTCTGTCTTCGTTTTATTATTATTATTATTATTTTTTTTTTTTTTTTTGTTCATAGTTTTTAGTGTTTTTTTTTTAATTACAATTATTCCATCACATGATGTTTGAGACTTCTTATTGCACAATAAGTATCTAAATAATCGGGGTTTTTTTGTTTTTGTTTTTTTAAGTAAAGCCTCTATCTTTTTTTGAATGCCGATATTGCTGCGAGTTACTTTTAATATTTTCCTTTCGATACTGAAAACTTCGCGTCATAATGTCATGGAGGGTAAAGCGGTCAGATAGAATACTTTATTCAAAACAATTTACTATGATATTCTGAGATGGTGCGTTCATCTTGATATGAAAATATTGTATCACTGTGATTCGGTTGCATTTAATGTACATTTTATACAGGCACAGGCATGACCATATGTATGACCTGTTTTTGAATCTATACATAGTAAAAGGGAAATAAGGATAATAACAATTATCGTTATCATTAAATTGAAATAGTATCAATGATTTCTTGCTTACGTCAATATCTTCACTGTCAATTGAAATCGTCAATTTAGCTAAATTAGTCATTGCTTATATCTATCTGTTATGAGGGCTATGTATATTAATTTCATATCATAATGATTTTGTCAGTTGTGTACCAAACCAACTTTTAACTTAATCGCAGATATCCCTATCTATAGCCAAAATCCTTGATCCAGTTGCTGATTCCTCATATAAAATTTTCTTTTAACTCTCTAAAGATAATTCTTTGTATCATATATTTACATAGTTTAGACTTTATGACTGCTTCGTAATTAAGTAAATTCCAAAGCATTGTCCCCGTCTCGAATGATTTACTTTAAAAAGTTACAAATGTAATGTCAATTACCTTATTGAACGTAATCAAATAGTACTAGTTATGGTAATTCATTTTAGGTACATTGCGTTGAAAGAGTAAGAACATAATTTCTTCGATGTGCAAACCTGCCTGTATTGCTGTCACTGGAGCTAAGCTTTATAATCCATTTCGGTTTTGCAGGGTTACGAAAAAAGAAGATATGAAGCATCCAAATGGGTCGCCACCAACACAACATCTTCCCAGAAAAATTCGCAATTGTTTCAGAAACTCTTTCACTACATCTCCGGCGATAATGCATTAAGTAAGTTAACAAGAGAGCAATGACACTTTTCTGTAATATCATAGGTCAAATACATTTCAAATATAGAAATATAAGTAAACTTTTCTGCTAATATCAACCCTTTATGCTACCATTGTGTTGTCACATATCGGTCATCATATTTGGCGCCGAAAATGTCATACAATTGGTAATTATTATTTTGAAAAATCAGGCATAAAAAACACATAACAAACGAGATATAATATACATGTATTGAAATATCAATTCATTAGATAATTATGCATACAGTACTTTGACATGAAATTCATCTAACAGGCCAAAAAATCAACATGACGGCACCAGTGTTGAAACGGCACGTGCCCGGAGCAAACCCACAAGCTGCCTCTACACACATCATGTACTTCATGGTGCCACATAAGATGCAGGACTCTACACCAGCCCCGACCGACCCTTCAGTCTACTTCGTCACTCTACCCCCAATGGTAGTGTACGTCAAGTAAGTATCGTTTAATTTCGGAAATGAAACAAGAGAATCTCGAATGTTATGTCTGCAAAATCACTTTAAAATATTTACAAATGGTGGTCATCAATAAAAACATACTTTAACAGTACCTTCACGCTTCATCAATACATTATCATGTCTATTGATAATTAGTATTTCATTAATTTCGTTAGGTCCTACTCCGGGTACAGCAGCGAAAGTAAGGACATGACTGCCTTCAACGCCTTAAGGGCTGAGCTTAAGATGACAACATTCGACAGTGCATACGCTTTTACTGCCGGATACGATAGTCCATTTAACCTTATACACAGACATAATGAAGTCTGGATTCCAGAATAATGAATATCTATAACATTGTATCACAAAAAGATTCGTTATTGTTTAACAAACATTCCATTTTCAAATTTCAAGGCTGTATATCATGATGACCTCATAAACAAGTGTAAATATTGTATAGTCTATACCTGTGTAAGTAGGATGATGATATTTTGTAAATAAAAAGTATAGTACAAAGGTTATGTATGGTTGTCACTTCTAGCGTCCTGACCAGCAACTCAAGTTTTGTTACTGAATTTCTGAACTGAAATACGTTCACATCTTGTACATGTAATTATCGTGTTCATATTTGACACAATTGAAAGCCAAACATATCATGTAAAAAGACACACTGCTAGAATACTGTTGGAATAGCAGAGCAATAAACACATTTTTGATTGGTTACCGATGATGATGATTATCCAATAAATGTGTAGTTTTTCAATTATATACCGCAATATTAAACTAGATATGTTCTATGTAACACAGTTTATTAAATTAACATTACAACCTAAATATGCACATTTATGGAAACGTGAAGCTATGACATGTACCTCGATCATAATACCGTTCTGTTATCTTGTTAGGTACCTGAACAAAGACCTATATACACTTATGATGTAGTGAAATGATAAGAGTCAGTTCTGATAAGGTGAAAGCATACACTTATATATATAGACAACAAGGGAATAATCGATATGCTTTTATTATTATAATGACATTCTTAACGGCCCATCAACTCATAAACGTTCATAAGGGCCATCAAAACACACAGCGATCAAAAAATGAAAAAAAAAAAAAAAAAAACATCAAACAAAATAAAATGTTAAAGATGAATGCTAATCATTTAAAAAGGTTGTATTGTCACAAAAGATTAAAAGTGTAAGTCATAGTCTATAATACCTACTAACATCTTTCAGATAACTTGAAATTATATTAATTTAATTTATTAATTGTAATGTTACGATGAAAAAATTCTTGAGTATACAGAAGGTTAATGCAGTCCAATAAAAATGTTTAACGGTGAATGGCTCACCACATCATATACATCGATGGTTGTATTCGCCTTTCAACATATATGAATGCGTCAGGCATATATGTCCCATCCGAAGGACAACTTTGTCTCGGTGGTTGTCTCTATAGCATGAAGACCATTCACCGAAAATAGGTTTCCACTTTTGCTGAGATCACGAAGATATGGAAATTGTATCCTTAATGATGTGTCTTTCATCACCTTTAGATTCAAATCCGGCTATATATTTGTTAGGCGTTATAATACAGGTAATATGCATGATGTTCACTGGTCCGTGCACCAATGCCGGTAACACCGGTAGTAATTACATAACAAGGGTAATAAATTACAACTGTAGCCACGGTAAATTCAGCTCTATCAACATTTCTGACCCATCAAAGGTGCATACGTACATAATATTTGAGTGATTTAAGTCCCTTATTAAACATTGTTTTATAAAACAGGAATGGAGAGAGGGGTAGGGATAGGTATGGGGTTAGGGGATGAGGTGGGGTGGGCGTTAGGTGACTTTTTTAATGTACTTTCTACAAAACTCATGGTAGCTGTTGAATGTAGATTTGGTAGAAAATTATTTTCACCTGCCTACATATGTATGTCAAAACGAGTTAATTCATACAATATATAAATATACTATTGAAAAAGGCGGCGATCGTACTATATAGTACAAGTAAATATAAAGAATTTGAATCTTGTATAGTAAGAAATGATAAGATGATTGGTATGAAATTGAAATTAGAATTGTTAATCATGATCAAAATGCAGTTCAATACATATGTAGATAAACAAACATCTCGACAGTTGAAGCGAGTGCAGTCAAAAATTTCATATCGATACCAGAGACATATATAACACATATACGTGTAAACCAGAAATATTTCTCCTCTCATCAGATCAGCTGCACGAACATACTTATGCCTACATGTAAAATCAATTCTATTGACAACACAATATTGGATTTTGAAAATCCGACCAATATACATGAAATTAAAGTTACAATAAATTTTCTCCTGGCTCATGCCCTGTTGGAAATTAAAGGAGCGTGGGCACGTTAACTTTGGACCACTAGTGATTTAAAAAAAGTAATCGTAATTTATTATAACAATGAACCTCATTTGAACTTCAGTTTGAGTAAGGCTTGCAGGACTGATGTACTAATGGTCCAACCGTATACAATAACTTAATCCCTGTCGCCCGCCTTTCCCGCGATGTCGCGGCAGTTAAAGCGACAGGTCAGTAAATCGCTCGCTCCCGCAGGGGTTGAGAGCCAAATCACTTCAACTGTACTGTATATTCCAAATAACGATTATTTAGTAGACATTTAATAGCTTCTGCTATAGTAACAAATAGGTTTAAAGAGAATAGCTATTATTTTTTTATCTTTCACAAGTGCAAATACAAATGAAGACACCATAATATCAGCCATACTTCAAAATGTTTATGTACAGAATGACTTGAAACACTGGTACTGTAAGCATTTTGTTTATTGCAAATGTTTTAGTTTTATTTCGGACATTTTAATTGGTGAATTTTAAAAAAATAATGTGTGTTAATTTTTTTTTTTTTTTTGAGGCGGGGGGGGGGGGGGTGGGGGGGGGGAGAGAGAGAGAGAGAGGATGTAAATCTGTAAAAGTATTCATTTTCGCTGGTGAATGAATTAAAAATAAGTCTAAAGAAAGACAACTCTGACTCTGACTAAATATTTCCACTACCAAAGGTACCACAGCAAGCATCGCAATTGGATTTTTGGCAAATAGATTTTTACTAGATGAGATTGCTTATTACATGAAGCTGTTAAATTATTATCTAACCTGATCTTCTGCCAAGAAGACAGATAAATATAGGTTTATCCGTTTTGTAATTGTTTAATAGCAGATACAATAATATCAAACACAAACAGAACGTGCGTGTTACAAGTTGAAATTTAATATCATATACGAATTTAACCTCACGATTCAGCAAAGATGAAATCGCAGTGGCTATGAATACGGATTTACCGATACAAGATATCCGACTTTATTCAAGTGATTAATTCGTTTGACTTTGGTTAAGGAATAATATGAAACATAAGTATAACATCATATTGTATGTACGGGAAAGCATGTTTGTACGTTGTTTATATTTTGCATCTAAACGTGTGTACGCGAGCTGATGAATGTGCGTTTTCACAAAACATTGTTTAAAACTTAAATGTTATTCTGATCATGTTATGAAAATTTCCATCGTTGTAGGAAATAAATGTAACAACAAAACTCTTTATACAATTGTGATAAAGCAAAATGACATATCTGGAAGGAAAATACATAAAGTCACAAGTGAACAAAGTGATATAGACTCTAAAATCTTACATCAGTTCATCTATTGAATTAGCATCCTGGTCGTCTTTAAAGGCATATAGAATATATTCTGGTCGGGAAAGCGCACCCAGGTCATTGCTTTCTTAGGCTCTTTCTTGTCAGACAGTAAACGGCCATTCAGATTTGCCTTAGTACCGTTTTGAGCTTTGTGCCACCAGCCGCTTTGCCTCATTTCGGCAATGTTGAAATCAGGATTTTCGTCATTATCTCTATCAAACGTAGAGAAGGCGATGCCATCGTCTTTGTCCATAGCATCACCTAAACAGCGAGAAAATGCTATTAAGTATTTACCAACCATGTTCCCAATTGTTACTTGTTTCATGTTCAGTATCTAATATTAGAAGATTGTACATACCACGCAAAAGTGAATTACACATTTTAATACAAATTAAAGTTAGACACAGTGAATCAAACAGCATCGTCATTTGATGACTTGTGATACTGGTGGCATAAAATGTGAAACCTACGAGGCGACTGAAAAAATCCAATGTAGGCAATACAGTTGGGAAAGTGTCTAGCAACGACACTTTGAATAACGTGTAAAGGTTTATTGACATTAAGTGGCTTTCTTATCTAATTCAAAACATTTTTTTTTTCATTCAAAAACATAACTAAAAATAATCACTAGTGTAAAATAATCTTACAAGTTAATTCTAGTTTTTAATTTGTATCATTCAAATAGTAAATGGTGCACTTATAATGCAGTAATACATGTAGCTATTTTTTTATAACTGACCACAGTTTTCGAACTTCATTTCGAGGTCCGTGTTTGGAAATCGAGTTATATAGTTGTCATGGAATACATAATGTTACCGTGCATATCTTAACGTTTGTTTGTAGTCTTCGCACTTAAAGCACCGCGTAACTAATTGATATCTGTTATGTTATTAATATGAAAATAGCAATTTTTATGAATATGCAAATCATTGGCGACACTTGAGAGACAGCAAAATATACATTTGATGGACAAAAGGTGACTAAAAGCTTACTTTAATTTCTGGTTTTTATTCATACTTATGGCGGTTTATAACTATGTAACCAGAACCTTCTTTATTACTTCGTAGATTAAAGGATATGTAGATAGGCTTATTGTAGACCAACTATCTTTCGGGACTGTGAAGATTCCTGCTCTCCGAATAACAACATGTTCATGGACGTTAATGTTCGTGAATCCCTATATATTATACTATACCTCAATTGAAATTGATCATTCTTGTCTTAAGTCGCGGCGATTTCATATTCGAGAAATTGTCTCGGACGCGAAATTCTAGAAAACAAATTTCACCGAAATGATATTGCATTACAACATAAAGAAATATTACAGTAGCATGGAGAATCTTGATCTTTCTTTAAAGTAAATAAGAGAGACAAGATATCTTAGCAACGTAGAACAATTATTGTCTCGAATTTTTAAACTATATATAAATTTTGCAGTTAATGCACTTGATGAGTGACGCAAGATGGAAAAGAATGAAAAGAATAATTTCAAATAATTTTTTTGTATTCTTAAAATTTATGAGTTCATCTCGAAATAAAACCTGCACAACCCTATGATAGAGTAACAATATAAGCGACAATATGACAGCCGACGTCATGATAATATGCGTAGATTGAAGATTGTCAATGGCGAAAGAAGACACTTTTCATTTAAGAATAGTCATATTCGATAGATGAGTAGTCTATATTTTATGTGTTTTAAACGAAACATTTCCATCAAAAATAAAGTAGCGCAAAGTATTTCTTCCTTTTCTTTGGTCACAAATGAACAAAGCAAACTGCAAATCTTTTATGATTTCTTCATTTATTGTGAAAGTCACTCGATATATAAATCATTATTTGGGTCATCGGAAATATAGAACATAGACAAATCTAACTGAGTTATCCGTATTACAGATATGAACCTACATTTGTTACTTAAAGTGGAAACTGGTATATCGATGGATGAATTTTCTGCAATCACACAATTGACACCACAACAGCGCAATAATATGTAACGAAACTTACTGGTAATGTTCCCTGATAGGCCATTCACTAGAAGTGTATAATTCTGATCTTCGTTGGCCACTTGAAACGTTGAGTAATGGGCATACCCCTTTACTCCGTTCCAGACTTTTAATTCTACGCGCAGGATCCTTGGAGTTCTTGTCAGGAGGTGCAGAATATCATTGCCTTTGATAAAAGTAATGATTAAACCTATGTGATATTGCCTTAAGGATATCAGTAACCGGAACGTTATCCGGAAATACAACATTTAACATGCAATTGTATTTTTATACACTTTGCGATTTACAGTTGAGCTATAGTTTGTCTGTGTACTACATTTTGTGACGGCACATATGATGGCGTGATGTGGTTGTGAGCGTCAACAATTTCAATAAGCTCATCTATTGGAATTACTCTAGAAATCTTGGAAAGAGTTTTGAAAAATACATTATGACCATAATGCATAGATTTGAAATAATGGTACTTTGATTTGATGGATTACTTCATTTGCTTTTAAATTACCTGACAATATTTCACCTTTCAAAAATTCATCACTTAAAGAAATCTTAACCTTCAAATGCAAGGACTTAAAATCATGTAGACATGTAGAATTACAAGATGTATATCATACCTATCCAATACACACACAGATCATCACAACCACGCACACACACACACTTTCCTGTTTTTTAATCGTGTTCAAGTATGTTCTAAATATGGGAAATAAAATGAATGCTGACAAAAACCCTGTTAATTACAAGAGTAGCAATGAACGTGGTATAAACAATCCTGGTAGATGTCCGTTTATAGTGAAGTTGGCACAAAAGATACAAGAGTGAAAAGCACCTTATAATACCAGTCTTGCATTAGATATATTAGCAATTAACACTAATAATTAATCCATACACATCTTGTTTGTCGTTAGTGATGCCAACGACCTTAGTTGTTGAAAGCTAGATGGCGACAGCAGAATGTCAACTGGTCCTAAATCAATAATCGATAAATTTGATAATTTTACACTTTGAACGGTTTGTGGTGCAACGTTTAACCTGTAAAAGCTTACCGATCCAAAAACTCCCGTATAAATCGCCGAAACCGCTCTTGTAATCTGACCAGTTGCGATAGAAATCCTCCTCTTCATTTATCCGATTCTGGATCACCTGTGTCATCAAGGATACCAAATACAACGAGGGAAATACTGCCAATAAGGACATATTTCATGACCATAATTTGAATTAATCTAAATATCTGAATATGAACATACACAAACTAAACCTGTCAATAATAACGAATCGATATTAATTGATACGGCTAACCCAAAAATGTTTTGCTTATAACAACGATTAATGATAGAACATGCACAAATAATCATATTAGCTAACTGTAAAGTAGTGAAAACGGATTTGGATTGAATCCTTAAAGCGAAAATTTTTATTACCATTGATACATGCACGTCCTAAAATGAGATATGCGCGATGATATAGGCATAAATGCATCGAGATGTATTATTGCTTATGGGTCTTGTTAAATAAATTCTTTAACACATTTGTCTCATTAAGTGATCATTTTGGTTTTAAAATTCAGTCGTGGATTTCATCAAGTCAACCTCTCGGTCGAAAAACAAGCTATCAATCTCATTTGATAATATATAAATATCAATGTTGCAAATCATTTATCTAGGAAAGGCTCAACAATCAATAGAAGTGTATATAGCATTTTCAATCAAGTGACATAATATGTACCGTCCATGGTCCACCGGCAGTTTCCATGTCACACAATGCATCAAAAACATTGCCTTGCGTTGTAGTAATTCGGTACACACCAGAAGGAAATCCGTTTGGGATTTTAGAGCAGTCACTGAAGACTTTAAATGAAACAAAATATTCATATCAATAGAAAGGTACAATGTTAAAATTGGTGCACATTAATCAGTAATATATTGATAGCAAAGAAAACGTAAGCTTGTTGATTTGTTGGGGTGATCTTCCCCATTTGTTCCGGCAGTGGCGAATTCATGGGGAAATCTTGTCCACAATGGTGTCCATGTATGCATGTATATCATATTTTTTTTTTTTTTTTTTAATTTTTAGTCATTGTAAAAGTATAATAAATTATCACACCGGTTTTGGTTTTATGTGTTTATATGTATAAAGAGGCACTTACCCTTTGAAAAATACATAGTTGATTCGGATAAGTTAGCGTTGTTGTCTGTTTCGATCCATCGGGAGTAGATGACACACCTTTTGTCGACTGTTGTGTACGAGAACGAGAGACATGTTGCTTCTTTGCAATGTTTTGCACACATCATGTGATTTTGAATTCCATAATTCGAATCGAGAGTATACAGATCATGGTTCGCTGGCGTTACACGTAGAACTCTAGTAAAAGTGTGAAGTTTTGATAAAATTATAGCGTAAGCTGTCACACTGAACAATAACATACACCAAAGAGGTTTCATTTCCTTTGATTTTAAAATCGAATAGTTATCTCATCTTTAAAGAACACAAATGTATACGTAATGTATCTGTAGTGTTCCGCTCGCCTCTCAAAGAGTCAGTACACCATACTAAGCTCTTCCATTAATACACCATGGCAAGACATTCTATTCAGGTTATGCACATGGCATAGTGTTCACTTGCCACGCGAGCTACGTGATACTATTCTTTCACGTGTAGTTGTATTAATATTTTATATTCGAACGACAGCCATGAAGACCGTGAAGACCCACCCATAACGTCGGTGTTGTCACCAATCGACCAGCAGTGCAACTGATGTTACTTCCTTTCTGCTGCTACACACATATATAAACAGAGCTGCATATAATTGAAAGGTAATATAAACGCCTTGTTTAATCATAACGTTACATGTCAAATATATAAACATAAAACAGTAAAGGAAGGATACTCAACATCAATTCACAACAAAGAAACCAGGGAAAAACATCTCTTGTCTGAAATGTACCACGAAAGTCAGTACGATTCCAGCGTTAAAAAGACATATGAACCTCAAACACAGTACCAAAGTAACCAGGTATCTGTGCACTGTTTGCTTAAATCATTACTGTCGGAAATATGTAGCCACACGTCACATTAAAAACCAACATCCTGATGAGAAGGGGGATAACCTCATCCAGCCAGAAATGTATTCACCTAAAAAAAATCGCTAACAAACCTACAGCATGGCAACCCCCATTTGAGGCCAGAAGCACTCAGGACTTCAAAAACGTGAAATTTAGAATTAAACCAGCAGTGGATGATACTATAGAGAAATCCTCCACCAAGAAATCAACTACACCAGCTAATATACTCAACAGGATACTTGAAGAAGATTTATATCTGTCCTCAGATGAAGAAGACGAAGTGGAACAAAATAGACACTACTACCTGTACAACTATGTTACAGAAAATGATACCAAATTCCATCAAAATCAACCAGATCTTAATGACACCTTTTGTCTTGATGAAATTAATGAACATATGAATCAGGAACCTATATACATACATAGTATCTATGGAATTTTTAAAGCATCTTGATATTGTCGGCGAATTGTTAAGATATTGTTTACGTCATAATTATTATTGCACTTTGTCCATTATCACGTCATGTTCACTACCGCAAAAGTATACTTTAGCTGTTGTAATATTTTGAATCACCGTCCTGATGACGACTGCATGGTCGAAACATGTCGACGGAAGTTTATTCTTAAGAATAAACAGATACAAGAGTTCCTGGATGTTGAGTATCCTTCCTTTACTGTTTTATGTTTACATATTCTAAGGATCTCTATTGAATACCCTGTGGTATCCATCTAGGAACCATACCGCAATCTAAGACTTCAAGAGTGTTGGTTCTCCAACTTTGTTTTCTCCTTCCTATGTCAAATATATGTTACGTTGTAATAAGGACAAAATGGGGATAGACAATCCACAAAAGTGTGTATATTACAATTTCAGCAACATTTATTCCATCCAGTTGTTCCATGATTCTCGGCAGCAATATGTAATACATAAATATTCATCACTCAATCAATTTTTTTTAATCATAATGCAAAAGGTTGTTTGCATAAGACTGGTAAAACAAGAAAATAATATTATATAGTATTTCTAATGATATACAAAATGTAAAGTTTGGTTTGAGGGGATGATTACCTAACTTACAATTGATACCATTGGAAGTGATAAAATAAGTTACTAAAACGATAGCATGCAGTGTTGATCTGAATTTATGTATATATACATATATACCTTAAAATTGACTTGTGTTTCTGGGCAGTTCAACGATAACAAAAGCATTAAAATGCAAATCAGGGTTACGAGGAGAAATTCAAGTAAAAGTACGTTCCCAGATGAGAACAAGCTTTTCAATAACGAAACATTGACGCATGATAACGAGATACAGCTTATACATCACACACAGATGTAATATTGCTGACGTGACAATAAATTCTACTCAAGTCTTTAGCAATCTGTATTCCTGTAATTTGTCAACGTTGACAGTATCATGAAAACCGAATCGACTTTATCTAAAAATCATGGGTGTGGTTTATTAAGTCTCATAGTGCAGTCGTTTTGCGTGCAGTGTGCGAATCCACCCATGTTTACGAATAGTCGATCTAAAATAGATGATAAACTGGTCTTGTTGTATAATAGATTGTACAGCTTAGGTAATGTCTCCTGTGTGGTATACACAATGTTACTTCCATCAGGCTTATGTAATAGTTGTAAATATATTATTGATAAGTCGGGAATTCTTGGTTGTTTTATGATCGACTGGATGTCAGACATGCTTTTAAGTTTTTTTTTTTTATCATCATTTCTTATATAATTTTACTGTTATCAAAATAGCTATATTTTTTCGAAATTGTTTTATAATCCACTGCATTCTCATTATGCAAAAGAAGAATCTACTGATGAGATTGTGAACCAAATTGAGTATGAACTGATGTTACATAGAGGTCAACAAGTGATGCAAGGAATAAAAAGGAACTTGAATTAGTCTAGTTAATAACTTAACGATATCCGATCACACTAATCTGTTAAACAGACTTACATAGAAAACATTCTCTTAAACATACCTCAGAAAAGTCAACTTAAGAGTTAGTGTTACGTCACTCCTGATAAAGTGTACTCTCACTCAATGAGTTATGTTCCCTTACTCATCAGTTCCGTCACTAATTCATGGGACATCATTCGTCTCGTGTGTACGGGCGAGTCGCTCTTGATTAATTGGCTATTAAATGAAGTCATAAGTTAGTGTACATTCACCCATTTCATGAGCTAATATAAATTTACCTCATGACTTAACGTTCAGCTACACAACTTATGAGAGGTATTCAACCACTAAACGTATGAGTATGATTTAAGTCAATTCAATTAAGGTGTTGCCAACCAACACTAAAGCAAGTATGTAGTCACTCAACAAGTAAATATTCAGCCACTGGATTAATGAGTCAATGTTTGAAGTAATGGGTTAATGTTTAGTCAGTTAACTAGTGCGGAAATGTTAAGACATTCAAATCAGAAGTAAATATTTCATCATTGAACTCGTGAGTAATAGTGTCTATTTTCTCAACTAAGAAGTAACTTGACAACCAGTTCATTTTTAATTGTTAAATTACGATAGCATATAATACACATTTGTATTTTGAGTTCAGGTATACAACTCATGCACAAGAGTTCCGTTACTCAACTCACGAGTCAGTGAGTTTCCATTAACTTAATTGTGGAGTAAGCGTCCAGTCACTTTACATTTGAACAACCAATGTTTAAGTCGTGCTACTAAAAGAATGTCTTCAGCTGTTCTGTTGAAAAATCTCAAGGCAAGTGATGTGGATAACGGAATATATTTTATTGTTAATGTCTACAGCACGTATGATAATGAATAACTTATACTAAAGTCAGAGTAATATATCACAATATGTCTGACAGCAAAGGGTAAACAAATACATAAAGCAGAAATAGGAGTGTCCTTTCACAGTGATGCTTTTGTTCATTCATATGACCAATTTTTAATCTTACATATTTATCATTGATACTTTGGGAGTTCTTGTTTAAGATCATTCCGATACGGAACAACCTTTTAGCGTTATGCATTCTTCATACAGAATTACCTGTCGGTAAATAGCTACTTATTTTGTACAAGTACTTTTAAATTTTTTATTAGGCTAACGAGTTGATATTGATTTTCATAACACAATTCTGATGACTTACGCTAATATATTTTCAAAGATAAATGATGGGTTTTTAGGACATGTTCGGATGTGCGCCGTATTGTCACACTGCAAATCGAAATTCGACATTTGAGTCTTCAGTGTCGCGTCCTCTAAACAGAGAGAAAATGGCGAAAGAGACCAAGAGTAGAAGAAAGGGAAGAAAGGAAACTATAAGGATCATGATCATTTCCATTGCAATAGGGGAACTTCTAAGCAGGAGAGAAATTATGAACCAAACTAGGTATCAATTAAATTTTCATATGAATATAAGTGAGACTCTACGCTAAACGATTATTATTATCCTCATTACAATTTTAACGGCCCGTCAACACATGAAAAGTCATTAGGACCATCCACCGGTAAAACACACTGCGATCCAAAAAGGAAATAACATCAAACAAACTAAAAGGTTAAAGATAAATGATTAATGTTAAACCGTCAAACTTCAGTTATTTTGCCATTAAATAATTACATGTGCAAGATATATATGTATGCATCAGGGTTTCCTATCGTAAAGTTTCATCATATTTTCACTCCTAGTACTTTGTATTTTTCAGTTGCTTAAAAAAAAATCAAACATATGTCTTATCAGTGAAATTTATCAAGTCCTTACTGATACAATACACATATCTGGTGTCACGTTAATTGGTCACCTGTTATAATTCATCACGTTGTAGTTATATTTAGTTCCCCTACATAATAAATTCTACATCAAGGGAAATGAAATATTCAGATCGAAGTCTCCATATTTATTTCACAAGATATTAACAATACTTTACTGATCATCTATAACGATTACGGTGACTTTTCAAGGTAAAATGAAAAGCACAGAGCAAGGACGTCTTTGGGGCATTACTGATCGATATGGTCTCATCAACATTGCCAGGTTCCTGCTAAATGCTGAAAATGCTACATTATTTATATTTCAAAGAGTTAACAGGTTCATCCTCAGAACTATAGTTAGAAGG